TTGGTGATGAAACAGAAACAGAATTTGTACGCCTTGTTCGGGACAATGAGCAGCATTATTGTCAAATCGAAGATGTCAACTTGTGTCGCGTGTAGCATCAACAAAATTTTAAATAGGATCATGGTCATGAAACTTGAAAAATTTTCTTACGCGCACAAGGCGTGATTTTGACATTTACTTTACAAATGATGTTATAGCATTAAATAATTTTAAAAATTAGTTATTTTACGCCCGCCCGTCTCTTAGATGATAGAAAAATCAAAACTTTTTTAATCACGAAAATACTAATTTTGAACATTGTCATAAATTATTTTCTTCACGATGCAAACCAGATGTATAATTTTACAGTGCTGTGCACAACAGGAGATAGTAAAAATGTAAAAAGTGAAGGTCTTGTTTATTATAGTGTCACCCCTACTGAAAGGGCCAGTCATTTCTGACTTATGCGACACCTTTTGCTTGCATGCCATGTACCTCCGAACTCCTAACACTATGTCAGGCGCCAGGCGAATAGAAATCGGTAACCATTCATTTTAACTACCTGGCGGTAGCGGTCATTTCGTAACGAGTCTCACGAGAAAAACACACCATTGGGTTTCAACCTTCGACCTCTCGATCCGGATTTATTGCAAGGAATAGTTCTTAATGTTGCTGGTGCTTTATGTAGTCCCTGACTATAGCGGCCATTTAGCCCTACATTATTCAGGATTGTTTCTTCTTTTTTGTTCTCTAAAAATTAACACTAATGTGGATTTTCTTCAAATAGTTGTATTATATATATGACCATGAAATTATATTATTATATATGTGACTGACAAAGAAAGGCAAAATTCTGCTTAATTTGTCAAGTTTGTTTCCCGTGTGATTTCTGCAGAGCGGAGAGTATGTGCTTTAGGCTAGCTTAACTCACTAAATCGGTACACTATTTACTTCTCCCTTAATCATTATTAGTACGATGTTTTAGTGTTTTTTTTTAAATATTCTTTTGTAATTTTTAAATAAATATTGTATCAGATTAAATCCTTCTGCAAAAAATTATAAACATTTAATTTAAAATCAAATTAATAAAAGGATCATGACCTTTTAAACTTCTAACGTTCAATCAATATGTTATTGTAGAATTGGCTCGCGCATGAACGCACATAAACAAGGAAGTTTAATTGCACATTCCGTCAACTGAAATTTTAATGTAAGATTTCATTGGAATAGGAAGTGTAAAGCAAAATTGTTTGTTTAACCTAGTTTAGATATATTATCTGATCAAGTTAAATTTTAAAGGATTTCATGTATGATATGTAAGTACTATATCATTTTTCGTTTTATAAATTATGTAAACTTCATCTTATGTTATGAACGCTGTAGTTTTAAATATATAAAACATCGAACATGTAACTATATATTAGCTTTAGCGTACTTGTTTGTGTCGTTGTCAAAATTGCCTGTCGATTAAACCGGAATTATTTCTTATATATTTGTTTGATTGTGTTTTTCAGTAAATGAGCAAATTTATTCTATGGAAGTTTAGTTGTTGTGTTGCCCTTAAATTTGTAGTCATTTTGTTCAAGATAGAACTATATTTTAGACGTTGCACTGCCTTTTTAGTGTTTAAAATAATGGCCATTATAATAATATGTATATTGATGAACACACCGTAAATATAGTGCACGTTAAATGGTCTTATCAAGACTATTGTACCGTTCAATGACGTCCTTTCGTTATTTAAAGATGACCTGTTTGTAAGCCAAAGCGATGAGGTATTGAAAAATTAATCTCATTTTCTCGGCCCTTTCCGCCAATCTTAAGGGAAGGACCTCGAAACAATAGTAAGAATACACACAATAAATACGATATTTCGGTCTTACCTACACTAAGAAACTAACTATTAAAATAAAGAAGATCAATTTAATGCTGGGAGTTATACACTTATTATATCAAGAAAAGTCCGCCTAAATTAAGTAAATCTATTCATTAAAATAGAACAATGTTTATCAATGTATATTTAACAATGTATATTCCTTTTATAATGGTTATACAGTCGAAAGTATAAAATGTCTACATGTTGATATTTATTCAGGTTTGGTTTATAATTGCACATCAGTGGGCATTCTTAAATTATGATTGTCAGACATTTTTCATAATCATAATTTTACTGAAAAAGGCCTCATTTTCCTTTGGATGACAAATATATACATTTGTTATACATTATCAAAGATAACAAATGGAATTTCTATTTTTGTTTTTATCGAAAGCTACGTAGTAGAAATGCGCTTGGTACGTATAATGTCTGAGGTTTTTAATATATATAACCCGAGGCGTTCCGATCGTTGAAAAGTTCTTCCTTTTGAAAAACCTGACACTATTGGAAGCATTTTTAATTCTATAACTGTATGTATCGCTATATAAAAGTTGTTTTGTAAAATGTTCTTCTATGCCCGTTCTCTTTCGCTTTACAAAACTGCTTGTTTAAATCTCATAGTGTCGTTCATGTTTTTGTTAACGTTTCGATTGTTCTAGTTAAATCATAGTGTCGTTTATGTTTTTGTTCACGTTTTGATTGATCTAGTTAAATCAAAGTGTCGTTCATGTTTTTGTTAACGTTTCGATTGATCTCGTTAAATCATAGTGTCAGTCATGTTTTTGTTAACGTTTCGATTGATCTTGTTAAATCATAGTGTCAGTCATGTTTTTGTTAACCTTTCGATTGATCTACGAGGGCTGTTCAATAAATACGCGGAAAAGTGCTGCCATATTTTTAATATTCATGGGAAATTGACATTCTCTTTACATTTTGTAAATAAACAAATAATAAACATGTACCCAAAATTTCAATAAAATCGAATAAAAAAATAATAATACAATTTCAAGTATTTCTAAGGTAATCGCAGTGAAACCGGCCCAACGTCGTTACGACGTCACGCTCAACGCATGTATGAGAGTCACCCAAAACACGCATCTAGTCCTCCTCGAAATACTCTCCGTGAAAGGAAACACACTTTTTACAACGGTTGATCCATGACATGAAACTATTAAAGTAGGAGCCATTATTTATCTCTGAAATTGCACCTTGCACCGCGTAGGACAGCTCGTCCACATCATCAAAGTGTTCTCCCCGCAGGACGTTCTTCAGTGTCGGGAACAGAAAGAAATCGCATGGTGCGAGGTCAGGGCTGGTGGCCGGGTGCTCGAGGACTTTGAAGCCGAGTGTCCTGATTGGGTACTGTGCTTCGGCCGCACGATGAGACGGTGCGTTGTCGTGATGAAATATCATGTCGACGATTTTCGTGGCCCGCTTCTTTCTCATCGCCCTCATAAAATCGCGTCTCAGAATCTGAAAGCATAAAGAAATACAATCATAAGTAAATTGTCGTTATAATTTATTTTCATAATTACTTACACAAATATAAATAATTATTAGGTAATGTAGTGACATAATAATGAACATCTTATTATAGATTAAATAAATTTATTCACCTTAGAATAATACTTCGCCGTCACAGTCTGACCCAGGGGTACCGCGTGGCTCAGTATCACACCGTCGACGTCAAAGAAGACGATGAACATCTGTTTCCTTGCAGATGGGCCGTCTTTAAACTTCTTAGGTGAAGGCGATCCTGGAGTTTTCCACATAGAAAACTGTGATTTCGTTTCAGGTTCGTATAGGCTGATCCATGTCTTATCAACAGTCACTATCCGTCGCAAGAAACGTTCACCTTCCCTATGAAAGCGTCTGAGAAATTGATTGCAACACTGCACCCTTTCCACTTTTTGTTCGTCCGTCAACATTTTAGGAATCTACCTGGCACACAGGCGTCTCATATTGAGTTCATCGTGAATAACGCGATGCACTGTGTCAATGCTACAATCCGATCTTTCGTGTATTTTGCGAATTGTTATCCGACGATCATTGTCAAGCAGCCCCTTTATCACAGCGATGTGATTTGACGTTACGTTGGGACGTCCACTGCGTTTGTCGTTATGGATGCTTTAGCCGCCTAGAAATCGGGCGTACCACTTGTACATTGTTGTTTTCTTCATCGCCTGATCACCATATAGTTTTTGTAATCTTAACATTGTTTCTTTCTTTCTGTGAAAACCCGTTCAAAACACAAACTTTTATTGAAGATCGTTGTTCCGATGCCATTTAACGCATACGCACTAAAGAATATGGCCGCTTAACGCCTAAATGACGTCACACACTAACATGACGTCATGTGCGTAACGCCAACATATTGCGCGTAAAAGTTTGGTGAAAATCGCACGGTAAAATGCGACGTCATTATTAACCAGTGACTATTTGTAAAAATGAACAAAAGTGGGCCGGTAATCGCTAAATGTGGTTACCATAACGACCGTTTGTTAACATATGATACATGCCAGCACGGCAATATTTGCTCTATATTTTTAAAATATGTTTGTCTCTATTACTGTATAAATTTTATTCAGCTAACTTGGAAAATAAGGAAATAGCGACACTTTTCCGCGTATTTATTGAACAGCCCTCGAAGTTAAATATTTGTGTTTTTGTTATCGTTTCGATTGATCTAGTTAAATCATAGTGTCCGTCATTTTTTGTTAACGTTTCGATTGATCTAGTTAAACCTTTGTTACACCAGCAACATTATTTTAATTAAGTATGTCACGCATTATTATTATTTTTTCTCAACTTAAAGGATATATTATTATAAAAAAATACTTTTGTAAAAATAAGAGACTAGTATGTACTGATAACCAACCAAATAATACAGTTATACATGTAATAGAATAATTAAATAAAGTTATCATCTCAACAATGTTTGTCTGGGTGTGTAATAATCTTTTTTGTTTTTATAAGGTAGAAAAAACCCCAAAAGGCTTCCAAATGTAGAATTTACATTAGTGTATGTATTGTTTGAACCAAATTAGTTATTTACCTTGTAGTCGCTATCGATTGTAAATGTTAACGTGAGGAAAGAAATAAAATTGTTAAGATTAAGCAGACAGCTTTCATCTTTCAACAGGCACAAATGGCAACTAGTTCATCAAAGGCAACTGATGTGAAGCAAAGGTTAATTGTTACTGCAATTGATATAGGGACAACATTCAGCGGCTGGGCATATTCTACACTAAATGAACCTGAGAAAGTTTATGCAAATCAGGCATGGTTTGCTGGTGATGGGTCCCTTGCGTCTCTAAAGACGTCATCTTGTCTTCTCTTTTCACCGGAAAAAGAGTTCAAATACTTTGGTTATGAAGCAGAAACAGAGTTTGCACGCCTAGTTGGAGACAATGAGCAGCATGGCTGGTATTATTTCCGAAGATTCAAAATGGCATTGTTTCACGACCAGGTAAGACTTTTTCAAAACTCTTATGTTTTAACGTAAACATTTTAAGTGATTTTTGTTCATATAGATCTTTATCACACATCCGTGCCGATTTTGCGACTCCGTAAAAATGGTATTGCACAGCCGTACATATAATTTGACGTGACGTCATCAGCGTTATACAAACATAGTGTAAAGACGCGCTTTAGCGTTATACTATAGGCGCGTCAATAAAAAATGACTCTAATTTTATTTTTAAACGGTCTTTATTTTGGGTATGTGATAAATAGAATATTAAATTCGTGTAAGTTCATTACTGAATTTATTGCACTCGTTGAATAAAATAATATTATGCTCGCCAAAGGCTCACATAATATTATTTAATTAACTCGTGCAATAAATTCGGTATTGAACTAACACTCATTCAATATCCTCTATGTGTTCATATGATAAACAAGATTGTACATAATAAGACGATCTCAAAGGCTCAAAAACAAGCATTCATATGATTTATTTAATTACAAGTTTTGCTTTATAGACACAGTAACAATAACTAAACTCTACATAACAAATGGATCAACTGTTTTTTTGTTTTGGGATCAACAGTTTTTTTGACCATACCTAATAATTATGCATTAAAAACAAAAACAATGAAATATATATCTAGGAGCCATGAAGTTGAGCAAATTCCTGATGTTTAAATCTGCACAAACTTAAAATTTCCTATTGCTAAAAACATAAAGAAAGGAAGCTATATAACTCAAGTCTGGAATATATCAAGGATAAACTACTTATGCGGGACTTTTCTTCTAACAGAAATTGAATCGATATACTACAATCGAGGACATATCAGGAAGAAAAATGCCAGCACTAGTGGTATTTGCTAATGCTATAAGGTTTCTTAAGGACAACTTTACAGAAACAATTCGGAATAGGGTACCTAGTTTTAAGAACACTGATGTGACTTATGTTCTAACTGTTCCTGCTATTTGGGATGATATGGCAAAAAGATTCATGCGAGAAGCAGCGGTTGAGGTATTTCTTAATTTCTTTGGAGGAATACGATCGTTTGCAGCGTTGAAACACCTTGTCATTGCATCGCATTAATTCTGTATCTAATTTTTATTTGCTCTAATGGGATTCTGGCCGTTAGTGTTGGATTTGGTCTGTGTTCAGTAAACGTAATCTTTCCTTGAACATCTATGCTATATTTAATGAGTTTTACATTACTATCGCCTTCGCTAACTTGATTCTTGAGGGCGTTAAAGTATCTCTGTACGGCAAAATTTAAAAAAAAATGTTGCAGGCTCGTTCATGGACGGAATCGGTTACTGCAATGTTATAATCAACGCCCGTCTTAGCATCCGCTGATTATAATATAAGTCAACATTTTTAGGCGTTTACATTTTTGGACTATCTATAAAGATTTCGTGTTGACTTTAAAGAAATTATTTAATTGTGTTGCCAATTTACATGTATTTATTGCATATGTAAGTTATTGTACTCGACAATGTTTTGAAAACGTGGTACTGTTTTTGCAATTCAGGCTGGGATTCAAAATAATCAGCTGGTAATAGCACTCGAGCCTGAGGCAGCGTCAGTCTGGTGCCAGGGATTAAAAACAGAAATTCAACGTTGCGATGAAAGGAAGGCCTTTGGAATTTCAGCTGTTGGCACACGTTATATGATTGTTGATTTAGGAGGTAAAATAACCTTAAATTGATTTAGGTGTAAAATATAATACTTATAAAGAAAGGAAAATACTTTATGAAAAGTAACACAAGGATACATGTGTAATAAGAGTCAATATTTCATCATTATATCGACGTCTATCTAACATATTAGTACAGTTTTTTTTCACAATATCTTATAATTAATGGCTCTTTAATGGAAAGCAAGTAAGTATTTTTATCAGAATCTTGCATTTCACAGAACACACTATCATGCTCAATTGCTCTACAGTACAAATGTACTCTTAAATCATCATAAACCTTACTATTGAACAAAACATGTAATTCATTTTCAACTGAATTATCGTTACAAAAAGGACAAATTCTATCTTCTATGCTCAGACCCTCATAACGGCCGGTATCCATCCTAATCTAAATTTACATAATGCTGACCGATGGGTAAGGCGGAAATATCGTTTTAGGTAATGTTCGCTTTTATACTAAGACTTAATAAGTTTATATAACCGTAATTTATTACGACTGCGCCCAGACGGCCCAGTATTATTGTATAAGCTAGTTTGCCATTTATTAATAAAATCATTGAAGGACACACACTCAGTAATTTGTACAAACGTTCTAGCAATGCGAGTGTGTAAAGATAAATATACATTCAAATTATTCTTAATTAAAATGATTTTCTATGGAAAAACCAATTCTTACATGTACGATTAGCTTTATTATATGCCCAGAGTGCAATACGTTTTGTAAATCTAGACTCTTCCATATTTGCTAACTTTGACCAATACAAAACAGTAAATTTCCATTGACGGAATATCGGTGGCTTCCATCACATTTCACCAGGAAGCCCAACATTTGGTGTGTACTTGCAAAATATTTTCTTTTGAATTTTGCGGTACAGAGATACTTAAACGCCCTCAAGAATCAAGTTAGCGAAGGCGATAGTAATGTAAAACTCATTAAATATAGCATAGATGTTCAAGGAAAGATTACGTTTACTGAACACAGACCAAATCCAGCACTAACGGCCAGAATCCCATTAGAGCAAATAAAAGTAAGATACAGAATTAATGCGATGCAATGACAAGGTGCTTCAACGCGGCAAACGATCGTATTCCTCCAAAGAAATTAAGAAATACCTCAACCGCTGCTTCTCGCATGAATCTTTTCGCCATATCATCCCAAATAGCAGGAACAGTTAGAACAGAGGAGACAATATACAGTCTTGCCTTAAGCCACAGTCTACATCAAACCAGTCTGTTCTATATGAATTAATCTTTACATAAGTAGAAACAGAATTACAAAGGGACTTGATAGCTATTATCATTTTACTTCTAATACACAATTCAGCCAGTCTGTTCCATAGGATATTTCTATTTATAGTATCATTCGCTTTCCTAAAATCGATAAAAGCACAGAAAGTAGACTTACGAGATTTTTTTCTGGTATTGAGAATGGTATGTAAAAAAAATCTGGAAACAAAGTGATCCCTCGGAAGCATTACTCACAACAAAATTACATAAGAATTACAGACATGATATGATCAGTCGTGCTTGTTTTTTTCTAAAACCACTTTGCTCGTCTGTAATGATACCATTAGCTTCTGTCCATTTGGTGAGTCTACTATTTAAAATTTGACAATACAGGTTATACATAGATGACGCCAGAGAAATACCTCTATACGACATAGGGTTTCTTTTATCAGTTATAGACGATTTAGGAAAAGTGTTTATAATACATTTAGACCATAATGAAGGAACAATACCTTTACCGAAACAAATATTGAACAATACATAAAGGACAGAAATAGAAACATCGTTATTTAACACTTCAACGGGAATACTATCTTTACCGCATGCCTTGCCTTTATTAGCAGATAATAAAGATGTGCGTATTTCTAGCAGTGATATCAATATTGTCAATATTATCAGCAGATAAAGACGTGCGTATTTCTAGCAGTGATATCAATATTGTCAATATTATCAGCAGATAAAGATGTGCGTATTTCTAGCAGTGATATCAATATTGTCAATATTATCAGCAGATATTAAATTCAACGTGTTGAACAACGAGCTAAAATCATTTTTCCATCTACTGAGAACAATATCAACATCATTTGATATAGACCCGTCTGGCATAACTACTTCCATTGGAATGGAATCATTGGTTTTAATATTAACACCATTTTACCAAAATATTTCCAAAATTTCACAGGGTCATCTACTAGCTGCGTTTGTAAAGAATACCAATGTAGGCGCTTAGCTCGTTGTACTTCGCGGTCAAATATTTTTGTTAATTTAAACAGTTTTAAAACCCTCTTCTCACTTACATCAGTGCATGATAACCATGTTTTTTTCTGCAATGCAAACATAATTCCATAAATCAGTAATTTTATCGGACCACCATGCTTTACCAGGACGGCGTCTTTTCTTGCTAGACCCGTAGTGTATGTTTTTATTTGGTAGCTTTCTATACATATTATGAGTGACAATTCTACACTAGTCATCGTATACAACGTCAATCTCCGATTGTGTCCGAAAACAAGTTAAAAGTTTAGAAATATTCTCGATCACAATGAAGATAGTTTCCTAATCTAGCATTAAATCCTTAGGCACATTTTAAACGTCAAATTTCGTGAAAGATTGATTATTAAAGTCATTACCTAAACTTTCGTTAAAATCGCATTTTAATAAAATGTCCCATAACAGAAGCGAATGATCAGGCATTGTACTCGAAGCTATAGCTGAAATAATACCAGACTTGTTAATAAGATCAGTCACTGAATTACATTAAACTTAGCAAAATCTGCTAAATTATCATGGCATACAAAGCAGTAATCTTCTTCATCCATGAATACCTTTACACCTTTAAATTTGCTTAATTGGCGAATTACAAAGATTTTATACATTTACGAGAAAGTTTTTTTTACACCAGTTGATAAATTGTCTGCAATCTTTATAAAGCACTATTGTTTATGGTCAGTTAAAGAAAAAACAGGATATTTATTCATATTTCCATAATAAACGGAAGTGCACAATATTTAGATAAACTGTTCGCATAAGTGTCTTTGTAAATTTAAAACTGTATGCACCTTTAGCAAGAATAAAAGACTGACAATTTGACAAAGAAAAAATAAATATGTGTGCAATATTATTGTTGTTTGTTTCAAAATCTTGCTGGTTGCCAGAGGAACATTCCTATTGATGGTGTACTGAACATTTTTGCAGCGGTAAAAGTCTGATCACTAAAGAGGTCATTCTAAACACTCTTTTACGTGTCCCTTCTTTCATTTGGTGACTATGTTGATCCTTTGACACAATACATCATCATTTTAGTGTCATTACTCGTTGGTCTCTCCAATAAATGCGCTAAAGGAATTGTAGTGTCCCTCAAATAGTCCTTGCAAACCATGCCATGCAATCTTCCAAAAACTTTCTGCAGTACTAGCTGCCCTGTAGAACGCTATATCAACAAATCATCACATTACCAGCATGAACTTCATTTGGGGAACTTTACTGTTGGTACCACATCATCTGCCTTTCTACAACTTTAACTGGACAATCATGTTAAAATCATAAATCTTGGTTTTGGTGTCAACTGTAATGATACTACACAGTATCACATAACTCGTTTTATAGCACAGTGTAAGGAGCCAAAGAATGTGTGTGTCCAATTCAGTTGCCATTCTTCTGGAGGGTATGCCAGTAAATGCAAGTTGAAAAACAAACACTCTAGCAGACCGCAATGTCAATATATTAAGTGTTTCACAAGGTCAGAGGCAAAACACGAACAATAACATGAAACAAAAACAACTGTTGAATGTTAGATCAACCATCGCATTTTAGTGCTCGATATTTTACTACATTTTGTAATTAAAGTGTAAATATGTACAAAATTTATATTTTCTTGATTTTCAGTAAATACATGTCTGTATTTATTACAATAATAATCATTTATACAAAATGGATGGATACTTTGTATATTAACAGAAATGTAATTTTCAAGGGGTGTAAAAGTATTAGTCTTTATGGATAGCATTGTATATTAAACGCATGTATATAAACTTTTTTGAGTAACATCTTGTGCATGATTGTAATGTTTAACGCTAAAATTCAGTGATTTGTGAAGTTGCATAACAAACAAAAATGTTGCAGGGTCCACGCCCACCCTGCAACAACTTGTGTGCAAAATTAAACATCTAAACATGAAAATTGTTAAAAAATCTGCAGATGCGTTTATACGGCGGTTATCATGGAACCTTCAATGCTACATGTTTTTGCCATTCCATGAAAAACTGCGTGTGATCTCCAAGTAAAAGAATGTTTGTGTGAAAACACTGGGTATAACTAAATGAAATGAAATTTTGAAGAGTGATAAACCCCATCTCATCAAGTCTTACAATCCAGTCCTAAAACCAACTCATATCATATTGAGAAGAGAAAGGAGAAACACCTATAATTTTATCTAAGGGTAATAAATCGGCCAATATAATTCAACTTGCCTGTCACGCAGAATCAATCGAGAAAAATAGATAAAGAACGAGAGGCATGTTGAAAAATTGTTTAAGTAAATAAGATTTTAATTGAAAAGAGCACAGTACAATTGATTATTTTTTTATTATATTTATAAGAGCATTCACATATTTAAAGGTCATGGTCAGACATTATATAACTGTACTTCTTTTCGCAATATAACTTGGGTACAAACTATTTACACTTTTAACATGATGTACACTCGTATTTTCGAAACGCTATAATATTAGTGATCATTAGTGACAAAAGAAAAATAACCAAATCCTTTAGATTTAGGAAGTTCTCATACCTATAACATTCAAATATAATATGTGTTGGCTAGAATGATAGGATCAGAAACAAACATATATTAATGTAGGTCTTAATGAGATGGGATAGGCAATAAAATCGTTTGACCATTGTACTCATTTCATTGTGTTTATTTCGTAAAAAGATAAACAACCATACACTCCAATACACTCTTCTAATTTTCAAAAACGAATGACCATATATGCCTGTTCATCCATTAAACTTGGCATCTAAAACAGTTAATTTGACTTTCAGGCGTAAACAGAGTGAGCTACTAAGTTAACAATATTTTGTCGGTATAAGTTTTTATACATGAGTTCTGTGCGGGCATTTTAGATATAGAAATAGCGTTTAATATAATCTAGCCTCGATTTAAGTAATTTATCCACGCGATCCGGCCCATTGTACGATTTTGGTAAAATGATCATCTGTATAGTGTGTATAAAGTATATTTGTTTGTCACAATTTGTTTTTGTATCTCCATTTGTTCACTAAATGTATCTCGGAATAAATGTTCGTCCAATAATTTATTTTCATACTATAATTCTTTCGTCGGTCAATGACAGAGATGCAATATACTTTATGAGAATCTTTATCAAGATATAAACCTTTTAATTGCATAAGTTCATCCGGAGTTCTGTACATAAGATAAAACTGTTAGCAGTAATAACAGTAATTGCATGTACCAGACTTTAGAATTTAATATTTTTTTATTAAAATACGTACTAGAACTTCATGTTTTCATATACATATGTTGACAATTATGATAATAACATCAGATATGATATATTTCAAACAGGAATAAAAGATAGATTGTAATAATTCAACACTTTTGCAGGGCGCGATAAAATAATTGCACCAAACTGTAATAAGAGTTGAGATACTGTATTATTTTATGTATGGACAATCTAGGAACGAGAGTTGTACCAGAACAATAAATATCTCATTATCTAGCAATGGACGTTAAATTATCTAGATTATCATAAGGTTCTCAATCTCTTCGAGTCAATGACTCTATTACCGATTTTTTGAAAACAACCCAGAGGAAACGGAATCATAAAAGAACGCCTAAAACAACACAAATTGAAAATTTTATAGTTTAATTGAGCCTGTTTATGGACGGTAATGGATTGTTCAAGTTACCGTCCAAGCCCCTAGCACATGTTTAAGCAGAATTCAACATTTTACACAAAAACAGTTTAATTTAAAAACATCCACAGGTATGGTCATTCGAAGGTTAACACTGAACCTTCAAAGTGTCACTTCCGTGCAATTCCATTAAACTCTTAGACTAGTGTTTTTCTTTGTTACTTTTGGAAGCTTTTTTATTTTACTGTTGTTTTTGCATGGTTAGATACATCTCCATGATGATATGTGTTTTGTTATATTTGTTACATATGATCAGGAATATTAACACATCTGCGGATCTTTCTTTATTCAACTTTTCACGCCAGAAAAATTGTAGCCCAATAATGTTATGCACCTGGTATTGTGTCAAGTGTATTTTTAGTCAAGCAGTTTAAGTTCGTGTTGATGTTTTTTGCGTGTTGTATGGCAAAAGTCCAATGTGAATGCATTTTTGTCGATCGAAGTGTTGTTTTTTCTCAAAACTATTGAAAGTAGATAAAGCAATTGACTAAATTCTTCATCTCATCGATAAATTATCATTCCATAACTTTTTTAGAATTAATAAATTGTGTCAACTTGTCCCGTGTTAAATAAATACCGGGATATGCAGAACACTTGTTTAAAGTTTATTGTTTTAGTTGTATTTCACCAAGTTATTCAACACTAAGTGATTATTATGAACATTAACTTGACAGCCTGATGGATTTTAGTAAAGATTTCTGCCAATTGATAACTTAAACAGCCTTATGAAAACAAGCCTGAAACACTTTACTCAGTATCTCTGAAAATTCCAAAAATTACACTATTGAAAATGCAGCAGGCTTGATGTTATTGAGCTTGCTCATTGACATGATTTAATATTCCATATGCAAAGTGTGTGTAAAAGGTGACATTTTGCTATTTTTTTTTTTAACATTCGTGTATGTTTGAGTATATACGTGCTTTTAAGTAATATATTTGTTACCTTTCATTTAAATGTGCTTGTTCATATTTTGTCAAATATTGCATCCTGAAGTCATGAATAATAATTTTTAGGAGGCACAGCTGACATAACTATTCACGAAAAAAGGCCAAACAATACTTTGCTAGAGATACATGAACCGATAGGCGGGCCATGGGGAGGGACAGAAGTTGACAAAAACTTCATTAACTTGTTTGAATTAATCTTCGGTGCGTCTGAATGGGAGGAATACAAACGAAACGAGTTAGAAGATTTACTTTACATGTACAGAGATTTCGAAGCAAAGAAGCGCAACGTACAATTAACATCATCAAAACAGATGATTATGAAAGTACCATCAAATTTAAAAGAATACTACGAGCGAAAAGGGAGGAGATCAATCGCGGAAATTGAACATTTATTTGACAGGAATATAGTATGGAAGAAGGACAAATTGAGGATCGATGCATCACTCATCAGGAAATGTTTTGAGGGACCGGTTCGTGAAATTATTTATAATGTGGAGAACCTATTATCAAAGCAAGGATTGAGAAATATCAGCAAAATAATACTGGTTGGCGGTTTCTCTGAAAGCCTTTACGTACAAGAGAGTTTTAAAGCAAAATTTCCTGACAAGCAAGTTATCGTACCCGCTGAATGTGGACTTGCTGTTTTAAAAGGGGCTGTTCTTTTCGGGCAAAATCAATCAGTAGTTACCGCACGAATTTCACGATATACATACGGTCTAGAAATTGCTGTTCCTTTTGATCTTACAAAGCATCCCGAGGAAAAGATATATGAATCAGATCGCGGAACACTTTGCATGGATTCATTTTGGAAAGCAGTTGAGATCGGAGAAGAGATAAAAGATGGACTTGAGGTATCAAGAATCGGGAAAGCAGTAAATGATTTTCAAGAACGCATTAAAATGTGCATTTTCAAATCAAATAAACGGAACCCGATTTTCACAACAGATGAAGGATGTGAACTTATTGGAGAAATTTCAGTTCCGATGGATTGTACATTAAATGCTGATGACAATGCCGTTGATGAAATCTTCATTTTTGGAGGCACAGAATTGAAGTTTAAGACCGTGCATAGAATGAGTGGAGATATACATGAACTTAATATTGACCTTTAATTTACTTCACTAGCACTATGAAAAGGTTGGAACATTACTATTACAGTGTTTTGTAATTCAAACAACACTTTACTAGTTTAGCATACTTTTGACGATTTGTGACAATTGAAATGTCAATTATAATTGTATATTCCGAATTCGCTACTAAACTTTTCGTATATAGATGTTGTTAACAAATGTCTGCACACAATTATTGCAAATCTACGAGTAAAGTTGATACAAGTTTTATATACTAAAAAGTTATCAATCTGTTCTCAATGAATCAAGCATTTTTGCTTTTTACATGAATACATAGTGTCGTATTACGGTCTTTAGCATTAGTTTGCAAATATACAGATAGGCAGAAATAAAGTTGCATAAATGGTGTATGATAAACTGGTCTTTAGTAATTATATAAAAGCTTATTTTATGGTTTGCTATTGTAGGATAAGCTTTGATTGCCTACCATATAGAATAAGGTACAAATTTGAAACCTAACAAAATGATTGTCAGTTCAATAACGTTGAATAAAGGCATTCTACATTTTGCATTGTTTTGCATATAAAGACTAATACAACGTTGTCTGTAAATCTTTTGCAGACATTAATCTGATGGCAAGAATGTTTTTTTAAGATAAAATGTGTTAATATTTGTACGTGTTGTAAAGTTGGATTCTAATTACAACAGGTTATATAATCATCACAAAATGTTTCATAATATTACCCAAGAAGTATAGCATATATACTCGTCATGTATATTTTTGAAGAAACATTAAACTTTTTCCAGAATCTATTTTTACAATTATAGTTACAATGTATGTAAAGAATTGATAAACCTTAAGCATTTGTTAAGTAAATTCTGGTTAGCTGTTTGTAGACCAATCAGAAGAGTTGTTACAAATAGTGTCACTTGCATGTAGATGTTAGCTCCCTCTGGGATTCAGAATTTCATTTAACCAGGCATCTCAGAGAGTTTTGACGTCTTTGAAGAAATGACATCTCAAAAAGCTCTCTAAGGTTAATTAATTAAAGTGACATTATGCTCATATTTTTATTGTCAAGTTGAGCTGAATTGACTTAATATTTCAAAAGAATGACTGTTTAAATGATGTTTGACCAACAGATATATCCAATTATATTGGAAAATGTTTAGGATAAAATTTAAAATCTGCCTAAAATATAAAAAGACTGCCCCACTCTTTTTATACATTGAACGTTACAGGTAAATTTTAAATGACATTCACTGAACGTGCATTCGAATCCGGTGGTTATTTATTGTTGATGCAAAGTAAAGTATTAAATCAAAAGGAATGATGGCAAAAAGAAAATTTATTTTGACTCTCACCTGTTCACTCACTATATACCTTTAGATGGTCATAATGTCACTTTAATTATTGAACATATTTTAGGCATTTTGGCATATAAGTAAACCTTAGATATAATCTAAATTCGCTGAAAATTTTTTGATAAATTTGTTAGTATTTTTATTAATTTCCTTTTACAGAAGTAATTAAGATTAATAAATATCTTCTCTTTGTTTTAAGTGGCAGCCATCTTGGATTATTAAATTTTTATTTTTGCTTAAAAGATTTAAACAGGAATTGCTACTATTCATAATTAATTATTAGTATAATAGCACCGAATCATGTGGGTTATATTCATATCTCCAGTTACTACATTTTAACAACTTTCAACTTGTTTAAGTCTTCTATTCAACTAGTTTATTCTGATTTTCATATTTTGGTAAAATAAAAAAAAGTAAATATGAAAGTGATTACTGAAAACTTGTTTGGCTTTAAGTAACTTTTATTAAAGTGTAAATAAAAACTAAGTTCATTAAAAATTTGGTTGATTTAAATAATTTAAGACTTGTATTTTATTTCCCTTTGCATTCCAAGGTTAGTGTCGTCATGACAACTTTTCCCCATTAAAAAGTAATTCTGAGCAAACTAAGAACACCAAAAATAAATATGAGGTAATACGTAACTAACTTCTTTTTATATAAAACAAAAACAAAGTTTTTTATTTTCAACACCACGACAATGGTGTAAGAAGTGGGATCGAGGCCTACAATTTATTTTAAGAAACACTTATTAACACCACAACATACAGAATATCTACAAAAAATAAAAAAGTCTATTTTGGCAATTGTTGTTTGAGTAAATCTCAAAATATTTGCACATTTTCCATCTCTTCCGGTAGGCAAATAACTAACACTTTTCTAGAAATTGCCGACCTGTGTGATATCCCTATCCAATAAAAGTGTTTCTTCAGGTTTAGCCTGTCAGTCCGTCCAACCACAAAATTGGATCCCGCAATAACGCAACAAGTATTGAAAATATTTTTATGAAACTTAATATATGGATGGCAGTCTAGAGATTATGTAAGTCTTTTTCTTTTCTTCATATGTTGAAAACTTTGGTTGCAATGACAACAAATAGACTGAAAATATGGCTAATTTAACACAAAAACTGGATCCACTGATAACACAAAAAGAAATAAAAATATTTTTATGAAACTTGAAATATGGGTAGATGGCAGTCTGGAGATTATTCATGTTTTTTTTTCTATTCTTCCTATGTTGATAACTTTGGTTGCTAAGGCAACAAATAGGCTTAAAATATGTAAAATATGATAATATTTGTGACTACTCAAAAGTAGTGAAAAACATTTTTATGAAACTTAAAATATCGATAGATGGCAGTATGAAGATTATACACATAATTCTAATATTTACTATAGGTGGTATATTGAGAACTGTCTATATATGGTATATTCAGAACTGTCCTACTCACCAAGCGTCGGCGACCTCAACAATATTTCAGATTCAAGTTTTTGTGCTTATTCACAATAAGTTCTTTATTTCTCAAGGTATTTACTTCAAACTTCACATATATGTTTCTTATCATCAACCACATAATATGTCACAAAGTTAACAACTCTTTCACAAAAATAATCAGAATTACCCCCTTGAACTTAAAATTTTCATGAAAAAAAAAGATGATTTATTATAATTTCTTTATTTTTAATGTATCTACTTTAAACTTTATATATCTATGGTATATTTCATTAAACATATTGATAAAATAATACATTTAACAATGTTTCTCAAGAAATACACAAATTTGTAAATTTGAAAACAAAGTCAGTAAAAAATTTAAAAAAATTCCTCTATTTTAAAAAATTCTATTTTAAAATAAATTTTCGAACAGAAAAATGTACATATTTGTTGCTTTAAAAATCTTTGTAATCAAAATTAATTTGAGAGCACGTTATTCCAACTTCCCCACGAAGCTGACAAAGGGGATATGCCACCACATGATTTTTGGGGTGAAAATGTTCCTTTTAAAAAATTAATTTGGTAAGCAAAATTTAAAAAAAAATCTTTCGCTGCGACATGGTTGAACATGCGCGTGCAAATCCCTTTTGGATTTAAGTCCAACCCTTAACCACTCGGCCATCACAGCTGTAGATTAAGGGTAGCGAATTTATTTAAATATACCCCTGATTTAAACATTTCATTTTATATTATATTTAAAGATGAATACAGGCTGTTAAAATACCACTTCATAAAAGTCAAATGCTCTTATTTATTTTATATCAATTATTAGCATCCAAACGCTGCTGTTAAATTGTACCTTGTGACTGACCAATATATTCACATATTGGACGCTGTAGCGTCCAATATAACTATCTTATATTGGACAGTTAAATGCATTTTGCCTTTTCCATGTACGTAAAAGCCGTTAACGACAAAAGTATCAGAATAAATTCTACTTAGAGCGTTGCAAGTGTGTTTTTAACATTAAACGAGTACAATACAGGATATACATGTATTTGGACTCGTTCATAGCTTTAGAAATTATATCAAACTCGGCCATAACTCGACCAATATAGTTCTCAAGCTGTGTACTTATCCAAATGTATTTCTTTATTGTTCAGTTTAATGTCGAGTAACCTATAAGTATTAAGTAAAAAAAAAAAAACTTAGTATGATAATAGTAATGATAATATTTTCAAATTATTAATAATGCTACTGCACACAGTTAAAATCTAACAGAAATACTACGGACACAAATTGTTCTAAGTTACATTAAAACCATTTATTGATACTGAATAATAAATGTTTCAAAAACTCGTGTATATGACTCCGTATTTCTTCGGCTTAATTAAAGAATATGTTAGTCATTTTAAAACCATGAGATCAAAGTAATCGTGCACGAGATTTCCAAATGATTTTCTTTTCAAATCATTGTACCGTACTTAACATTTTCATCATTATAACTGTATAAATAGGCCTATGCAAAGAGATGTTAAATAAGTAATTTGTGTTATTTTTATCAATGACATTGTTGCTGACAGTCAAGCTTATATACGCCTGTTCGCTGATGATACGAGTCTTTATATTACTATGGAAAGCCTTGACTGTCTTATCATTATAAACCTATACGTTGTTATGTCCATATAGCAATATATTGAGTCAACCTTTCCTTATACAATGTGCACTCATTAATATATTATGTGGATCCATCTTTATATGTAGTCAACTGAACAATATATGATGTCAACGTGTCTTTATATGATGTCAATCTATCATTATACGTTGTGCATTTTTGAATATATTATGTGGAGCCATCCTTATATAGAGTCAAAATAACAATATATGATGTCAATCTGTCCTTATATGATGTCAGTCTGTCATTATATGATGTGAAGTTATGAATATATTATGTGGAATAATTCTTATATAGAGTCAACATTATATGATGTCAACGCGTCCTTATATGATGTCATTCTATCATTATACGATGTGCATTTTTCAGTATATTATGTGAAACCATCCTTATATAGAGTATACTTAACAATATATGATGTCAACACGTCCTTATATGATGTCAATCTTACATTATACGATGTGCATTTTTCAATATATTATGTGAAACCATCCTTATATAGAGTGAACTTAACAATATATGATGTCAACACGTCCTTATATGATGTCAATCTTTCATTATACGATGTGCATTAATGAATATATTATGTGAAACCTTCTTTATATAGAGTCAACTTAACATTATATGATGTCCACACGTCCTTATATGATGTCAGTCTTTCATTATGTGATGTGCAATTATGAGTATATTATGTGGAACCATTCTTATATAGAGTCAAAACAACACTATAGTATGCAGAATTGTCTTTATATAGAGTCAGCTTAACACTATATGATATAATTTACTTCGAGTTTTTCCCGCTGTTGACACGAACGGTGCATAGTGAGATATAACCCGGTAAATTTAACCCCATCAGTATAATGACAGAAGCACACCATATAATGATGTTTGCACTTCATATAAAGCAGCGGTCGTATAATAATAGATGCACATCGTATAATGAAAGATTGACATAATGTATTGATAAGTTGACTGTATATAATGATGCAACCACATAATATATTCATAAATGCACATCGTATAATAATAGATGCACATCGTATAATGAAAGATTGACATAATATATTGATGAGTTGACTGTATATAATGATTCTACCACATCATATATTCATAAATGCACATCGAATAATAATAGATGCACATCGTATAATGAAAGATTGACATAATATATTGTCGATAATACGATGTGCATTTATGAATATAATATGTGGTTGCATTATTATATACAGTCAACTTATCAATATATTATGTCAATCTTTCATTATACGATGTGAATCTTTTATTATACGATATGCATCTATTATTATACGACCGCTGCTTTATATGAAGTGCAAACATCATTATATCGTGTGCTTTTGGCATTATACTGATGGGATTAAATTAACCGGGTTATATCTAACTATGCACCGTTAGTGGCGGGAAACGTCTATATCCCATTGTGATAAAATCTCAAAACTTGAGGGAATCCCAAGCGGTTCTAAACTGCTGACGAATTGTTAAATTGACTCTATATAAAGACGATTCTACATAGTATAGTGTTGTTTTGACTCTATATAAGAATGGTTCTACATAATATATTCATTAATGCACATCGTATAATGAAAGATTGACATCATATATGGACGCATTTACATCATATATTGTTAAGTTGACTCTATATAAAGACGGTTCTACATAATATAATGTTGTTTTGACTCTATATAAAGATGGTTCCACATAATATATTTGTAATTGCACATCATATAATGAAAGACTGACAT